TTTCATTATGGTTTTAAACAAAGGCCCAAAACTTAATAACCTTATTTACAAAAAAAAAAAAAAACTTAATAACCTTAAGTATTAGCCTTTTTAGGATTATACAAAACTACGTGAAAGTGAATCTTTATATATTAGTATACAAAACTAGTGAATCTTTAAATATTAGTATATTTTTTAAACAAAGGCCCAAAACTTAATAAGCTTAAGTATTAGCCTTTTTAGGATTATACAAAGTTGTTGACTATAGCATATTCAAAAAGGTTTTGTTATAAAAACCTATAGTATATATATTATTGTTCCCCTATAATACCAAGATAAAAAGAGAGATATAGAAACAGTGCTTGATTTAGTCAACGTCAAAAATTTAATGTCTCGTGCTTTGTATATAAGAATGTTGTGTAAATAACATTATGATGAGGCTTTAACTTGTTTTCACCCTACACTTTTAACACTTTATTTATCTTTGCGTCATTCATTTATCGCACTGCAATTGAATCTTGTCGTTTTTTTTATTCCAATGACTCCATTACCACTCTAGTCAACGTCGTCCAATATAATTTGGTGCACCTTTAATTTGTTACCTTATATATGTCCATAGGAGGCAGGAGATTTCAGCCGTGTAGATTGGCTCAGTATACAAATCTTGTAGGTGTAACCATCGGCTCAATATATAAAGTGATCAGCATCTACAGGTATTTTTTAAAGTGAATTTTATTTTATTTTAATATTATATTATTAGATATTTTAAATGCCTTTTGATTCGATTTAAATTAAATTTGAAAACAGATTTAACTAATTATGATGGACAAGAGTTGGATTGAGAAGCCACTTAGATCAAAAGAGTACTTATATGGGGTAGTCCAATTTTTGGACTTTGCCTTTTCAAATGCATCTATTAATATGGACAAATTTTATGTCCTTGCATTAAGTGTGGATTTCGTAGTATGTGTGATAAAACTGAAATGTTAAGTCATCTACTTCAAAAGGGTTTTCCAAGAAAGTATACATTTTGGTATATGCATGGGGAAAAACATATTCAATCCAATGTTGAAGAAGCAAAAGCACACGAAGACCCAATTAGACAATATCCAATGCAAGATATGTTAAATGATATTTTTGGTGTCTTTGATGATCATCGAATTGAAGATTCTGACACATCAAATCTACCTAATGGCGACCGCCCTAGGGGTACAAAAGATGCAAGTAAAGAAGAGCTAGAAAAAAATTAAAGAATTGCTAAGGGATGGGAATCAAGAACTCTATAATGGTTGCACAAAATTTACTAAATTGTCGTTCATTGTTCGGTTGTATCACATAAAAGCAATTGGCTTCTCTTCACAAATTTCATCTAGATAAATTTGGGAGTGAGTTAGCTACTTTCAACCAATATGTTTTACCCTCTTTGTTATAATTGGATAGAAACTTAGATAATTTTGTTTTTTTTAAATCATTTGCAAGCTTTATTTCTTCTCTTTCTTATCATGAAGCTAAATTCTTTTGGTTTTTGTACAGGTGTGATAGAGTAAATGGCACTTCAAAGGACTAGGATGCATAAAAGAACAGGTCCTGGAAGATTGATATTTGCAAAGAGCTATCTTTTAGTTTAGGAGAATGATTCATGGAAAATTAATGATATTTTGAACAATTAGAGATAATCACTATATTTTTCTTCAATTACCCAAATTGGTTCACTGGCTTGAACATTTTCTTTTTTGGGATTAGACAATGAGGTATTCTTTGAGTGTTGAACTAATAGGGGGAAGGTATTTGCCCCTCCATGAGATACTTATGGTACGATTTGAAATGCTTGTAAAATCTGCCAGTGTAGGGCAATTAAGCCACATGTTGTGATTTTTTTTTCCTGATACATACATGTTGTGAGTGTTTCACTATTATATAAAAAATATTTGTTACATATCATAATCTGGGCAAATTTGCATAATTAAAGGGTGTATCATGTTATTTTTTAGATTACATACTAAATAATAAAAGTAATTTTTAATATTTTTTATTTTTATAAGATTTATAAAAAAAATGTAATATTATTAAATTAAAAAAAATGAATTTCATATATTTAGCCACATTCATGAATGTGGTTAAAAAAACTTTCAGACATAATTAACCACATTTTTTTATTGTGGCAAACTATACAATTTAACCACATTTATAAAGTGGTTAAATTAACAATAATTGTGGCTAAAAAAAGACTACCACACTCAATCAAAATGTGGAAAAGTGAAGAAAGTAATGTGGTTAAATTATTACAACACCTGTTTTAACCACATTTAATCAAAATGTGGTAAAGTTTGTTAGCCACATTTTTTTATCATTGTTAGCCACATTTTTGAATGTGGCTAAACAACCTTTTTTTTTGTAGTGTACGTCATTTTATTTATTTATTTTTTTATATCAATTGATTCACCTTTGAATGGTTATGATTTTTTCCTCTCTCTCTTCCTTTATCACCATTGATCCATCTTTGTACGGTTATGATTTAGTAACCGGAGATAAGATTATCTCAAGCAGCTTGAGAAACAATAAGTCATATATATATATATATATATATATATATATATATATGGGAAAAACATTTCTCAAGTTGCTTGAGATAAATTTATCTCCGGCTATCCCAAAACCACGCTGTTTTGATTATTTATTTTCTTATATGTATTGATTCACCTTTGAATGGTTATGATTCCCCTTTTCTCTCTCTTCCTTTATCACCATTGATCCATCTTTGTACGGTTATGATTTTGTAGCCGGAGATAACTTTATCTCTGGCAGCTTGAGAAATGATAAAGCCTATATATATAATATATATATATATATATATATATATATATATATAATTAAATCACATATAAAAAAGACAACGAACAAATAAATAAATAAAGGGATCTATTAATCTCATGTTGCATGAGATAATTATCTCATGCAACAGAGACAAGATTGTGGGGTCCACCATTTGTAAAAAAAAAAAGAAAAAAATAATGTGGACCCCACTACTTTGTCTCTGTTTATCTCATGCAACATGAGATAATTATTTTCCATAAATAAATTAAAACGATTTTCTCATATTCCTAAAAGAATAATAATTTATTTATGTTATGGAATATACACAATCATAATTGACAAGGAGGTAAACAGTAATTTGTTATAATTTTCTATTGAATTACCCGTAATTTGTATTGGTATTTTATAAAATATTAATTATATTACAATTTTATATATTATTAAAAGGGAAAAACATTATCGGCATTCCTCGATGATACGGTTAGAGTCCGTTTGATACGCGGTATTTTTGGGGATTCTTGAAAAATTGAATTGTTTTAAATTTTAAATTTTCAGATATTATTGTTAACTGAATGTAAAAATCATATTTTTGAAAATTGTGATTCCCGGATAAAAAAAATTCATCCTCTACCAAACGCCCCCTTAGTGTTTAAGACGAATTTCATCACGAATCAGGGGTAAAGGGGGTGGAGTATTTGTCCGACAATGATTTTAGTTATAACTATTATTTTTTATTTAATATTTAAATTAAAAATCTCATATTTTTTTCTATCATGATTTCTGTTTTTCTTATCATAAAACAGTAATTTTTACTAAAATAATACAATTTTATGTAATTTAAAATGACAAATACAATTTATAAAAAAAAAAATGACTAATACAAACCCCATAATAGTATCATAATTTTCTTATATACATATTATAAACGTTTGAGTGTGAGATTCTTAGTATTATCTAATAATTGTACCGTAATCAGTATCCTCATTTTAATATTATTTAATCTCTATTACTTGGTCGTGTTTCCAGTTCATGGGTCTCAATACAAAAAATTTGTAACAACGTAACTCTAAGCACAACCACTACGAAAAAATTGATAATTACTGGAGGTTTTTTGAGCGTAGGTCAAAAAAATTTCCACTAAATAACTTAATTTTTTGCGGGTTTTAAACATCCACAATTTGATATTATTTTTAGCTATTTTAAAATGCCCGAAAATATATAATATTTTTTTATATTCATTTTCTATATAGTGAAAACAAAGAGTTTTTAAAAGTTTATTTCTATTTTTTTAAAACAATTATTGTGTACCCTAAAGTTCACTTAATTTTTATTTTAAAAGTAAATAAGTATTTTCCTTCCCAGAATCACCTTTGGAAAGTGTTTAAAGCCTTAATCCTGAACTCGTCCCGAATCAGACTAGTCACGAAGCGATAAATCGATTGAAATATTTCAAAAAAAATAAAAAAATAAAAAATAAAAAATTTATATTCTTTCCAACAATGATTGTTTCCCGTCGTAGAACATGTTAAAATGTATTAAAAGAAACCATGGGAGAATGTAGAAGAAAAGAAACACATTAATTTTCTCTGATCCAAATCGAAATCATCCCAAACTACCGAGAAAAGATCTAAAGAAAATTGTAATAAGAGATGAGAGAATGTAGAAGAAAAGAGAGAAGAAATATTTGAGATTTGAGACTTAGGGCATGTGAGAAGGTTTAACAACGTTTGTCAAATTTTTAACAGAATTATTGATTTGAAAATATTGGGGCTTTATTGAAACAATTACAAGTATAAGGTAGTAATTAGAAATATGGTCAAAGATGAAGGGGGTAACTTATATTTTAGTCTAATATGTAGAATATACTTATATATATTGTTTTAGGGAAAATTGTGTGTCATTTTAAAGATGTAAAGTTGTGTCATTTTAATAAAGGAAAAGAGATAGATAAAGGAGGAGAGAGAGTTGATAAAAAAAATAAAAGTGTAAGTCTCACCTCTTTGTGAGAGTGAAATAATATAAGTTATGTAATTTAAAAGAATAAATTTTTTTTCATTGTTTTATAATATGTTACACATGAAGAACTTAAACACACTGGCAGTAAGTTACCAGCGAGAGACACCACCACTCCAACCTCGTAGGATCTTTGTAAATAATAATACCCGCCAAGATATGTACCACAAAATAGAACTACATAACACCTTAAGTTATTTTCCTCTAAGTGCAAGGTAAAGCCTGTTCACAATCAAATTACCATTACCATTGCCCTTAACCACACCACTATTGGAGACAATGGCATGTGCACTTTGGTTTCGGCTATCTTCTGGAAGATTATCATTGTCACTTTCTTCTGTGTCAGAGAACATGAAGTTACGCTGCTTCTGAATTTTAGCACAATGAGAACATGAAGTAGGCGTCCATATCCCGGTTGTGTTGACTTCTTCAAACATTTTGAATAATGCAGAGCAAGGGTGTTGGATTGGACCCTCCACATCAAAATACAAAGTGCCATCATCCAAGACTCGAATCTTTACCACCACAGAAAGCCCAATATTATTATAAACATAATAGTGAGCCAGTGTCCCCATATAAGGATTTTGACCCTCTCTCCTTTTCTTCCACTCCCTAACATAAAGACCCTTCCTTGTTCCAGACCCATATACGTGAACAGTGGTTTCCGTTACGCCACCCCATTCATTTGTAGTTTTTCTTGTATTTAGTGACATAAAGCGAGGGCGCTTCCCGGGCTCATACACATATGAAAATGTATTATATACCTCAAAAAGACCAACTTCCGCTCTTCGTACCCTATCAATAAAGGCCTGTGAATATTCTCGTGTAATATTATCGTTGATATTTGTTCCTTGAATCTCATCATTGATCTTGTTTTCAAGCCAATCCACTATGATGATCTCTAACACTTCATCTTGATTACGTCCTGTGGTCTTGTTTAAGTTGAGCACACAGCTTGACCGTTCTAGTTTGTATGACAATTCCCACGTCTTTCTCGTTATTCCATTACCTTCTTTCTTAGGCTCTTCTTTTTTCAAGTCAATTGCAACACAATTTCCCAGGAGTAGATGGGAACAATCTCCATTTCTGAGAAGACGAAGGCTGCCAGGACTATTTCCCATGCGTATGTATATTTGTCTTGTGAGAATAGCCCACTTTCTACAACATGACACACCATTATATTACTGCAATTAAAAACTCTCTAAATGAAAATCTTTGCATGCAGATATAAATTTAGAAAATTAATGAACATTTAGATAATTTCAATACAAGATAAAATATACCTTTTTGTTTAAAAAATTTGTGAAATATATATATAAAATTATTGTGTATATATTTTAAGGGATAAGTTATTCTACCTACTATTTTTCTGTCTATCTTTGTCTATCACTTTAAAACATCATTAGATCAGAATCTTAACTAACGTTTATGTTTCTTTCCCTTCTTAAGATTCTGATCTAACGGTGTTAGAAAGTGGTAGGCAAAGGTAGACAGAAAAAATAATAGGTAGAATATCTTATCCCATATTTTAATTCAAAAAGTTAAATTTTTAAAATAATTGAATTATATTAACACCTTCCGACTATTGAAGCTTGAGTTCTATATATCGTAATGCATGTATATTTCTCCTTATTTCTATGAAATAATCCTTTTTTTTTTATTTCTTTCAAAACACATTGACTCGGCCACTTCCATATCTTCACCATAATAATATCCTAATTTTATTATTTGATCTAGTATCCAATACAAATGATGCATATCTCAATGCTCACAATATGCAACAACGTACCTGTGGCTGTATGCACGCACAACTCGACGGCGTAAATGGATTGCTTTGATCAGATGAGCATTAAGACTACCTATCTGACCACCTTACTTGAAATAATAAAATGGACGTCCTTTTGGTCTGCATTGTTGGGTTCATATTATGAAATTATAAATACACAGATTATAGAATCTTTGCACTGGTCTGCGTTATTCTTCCACAAGATAATAATTAATTTAGGTGGCATCTAATTTTCTATTTTCAATTTCCACATCATTTTTCTATGTATTCACGTTCTTATGTTCATGCTGTTACATAGATTCAAAAATGTGCTGAAAATTAATAATACACACAGATTATAGAATGTGATTCTTTGCCACGTAACTAACTGAAAGGGAAGCGTTATTCTTCCGCAAGCTTATCGTGGCATCTAATTCCTAACTCTATTATTTTTTTCATTAATTAATTACTTCTTCTTTTTTGTATAAATTTTAATTAATTAATTCTTATCGTGGCATCTAATTTCTCTTCTTTTTTTTTCTCATTATTTGATTCTTGATGTTGTTGCTGCTTTCTTTTTGTTCGATTCTTCCCTTTGAACACGATCCTTCGTGGTGGAGGATGCTGGATGTGTGCCGCTAGGTAATTAGTTTGAACGAATATCATTGAAAAATACTACAAGTGGACTAATTTTGTTGGTGTGATGATTCTGTTTCTTTTGGTTATTTTTTTTTTTTTTTTATATAAGAAAGAGGATAATTATAGGGCATACATAGTTAATAGTTTGAGTGGAGCACTACTAGAAAAGTTTCAATTTTCAACAGAAATTTTCGACGAAAACTATTCTGTCAAAATTAATGACAAAAATTAACGATGGAAATGTATTGATTAAGTATATTTGTTTATTAGGTGCAATATGTAAATTGATATTAAATTTGTACAAAGAGAAATTAAAAAAAAAATCATAATTTTTCGAGGAAATCTGTTTTTCGTCGAAAATCTTTAGACCAGTTTTCAACAGAAGTTCATTGATTTTTCGTTGCAAACTTTCGACGGAATTAGTTTTTCATTGAAAACCATGACAACAATTTTTTATGGAATTTCATTGATTTTTCGTTGAATTTTTTTTACGGAATTTGTTTTCTGTCGAAAATCTTTAAATCGGTTTTCGGCAGAAATTCATTGATTTTCCGTCAAAAACTTTCGACTAGAGCCTAGATCACACAAGGCTCTACGAATATACCTATATCCTATTGTACATGAAATTGTAAAAGAACCTGAATGTTTCAATTTCTAAGGCAATTTGTTGGAGAAGTAGCTGCTGCATTCTTTTGTTAAAGCCATTATTTCATACTCTTTAAGCCTCTTCTTCCTTGTAAGAATATCCTTCATGAACTTCATATAGCTTGGCATGTTTTGATGTGCTTCCACGAAGGGTATATTAATTTGTAATTACTTCAAGATATATGTCCAGGAATCTCTTGAAGTGATGTTGGTTTTGGAGTCTTTGAGGAAAATGGAGTTGTCTTGCTCTTGACAATGGTTGAGAAGCTTCACTATTCTGCAAAAGGTTGTTTAATTTGGCTTGTTGGATTTCAGCTCTGCTCTTACTAGTTCAGCAGTGGTTTCCTCATCATTCTCTTTTTCTTGAGGTGCAGATTGAATGGTTGTTGGTTCAACTATATCATTGTTGTCCACTTTCTGCCCTTGTTTCTCCATTAATTTCCTCAAGGTGGATGGCCTTATAACTGGCTCTAGATGATCAACTTCTCTGCCAATCCTCAATTGGAAGGTCTTGCATGTTTCTTTTCCATCCCTCCTCGGTAATTCTGTATCACTAGGGAGTGCCCTATAGGTCTGCTACTAAGTGCTGTAGCAAGCTAACCTATTTGTGTCTCAATGCTTTTTAACATGGCTCTATGACTTTAAAGGGGAGTTTCCTGCTGAAGCATGCGAAGAAAGCTAGAAGAGCTTCCCTTATATATATATATATTCTAGAAAGGCTTGTAGAAAGGGGCTTCTTCTAATATCTCAACAATCAAGAAAGTAGGGGCTTCAAAGCTAGCTTGCAATTTAGGGGTGCGCAGGTTTGGAACCCTATACAAGAGGCTAGCGTGCAATTGTTTTCTCTGATGGGGGCTCACTTCAAAAAGCAAAGCTTGTTTTATACTAAACGAGCCTTCCTTGATCAGAGAAATCCGTACGACCCCTATCTTTAATCTTAAGTAAAGTGAAGTCAAATCAATGAAGTGAACAACCCAACCTCTTTGTTTGAAGCATTGCTTCCCCAAATTCCAAAAAATAAGAAAAGCCTTGCGGCTACTATAGTTATCGTACAAGAAAAATCTTCTCTTTGATAGCGATCATAGGGGAGTTCAAAAAGAATCTGATCGTAGATAGAGACTAAACCCTGTGCGGGGGTAGGGGCAGATGTAGCCAAGTTGATCCAGGCAGTGGATTGTGAATCCACCATGCGCCGGTTCAATCCCCGAGGGTGAGCTTCTACATTGCCTTTGTTTTTGGAAAATGATGAAAAGTTTAAGTGGGGTTAGACACCAGTATCCCACTAGGGTCAGGCAAGACCCCAACCTCTTTGAGGATTTTCAGGAAGATTTACATAATACCCACCAATAAAGTTCTCACATCGGCCAGCGGGCTTTGAACTCACGCCCTTATAGGATATGGATCAAACTCTTAGCCAACTGTGCTCACCTTTGTTGGCAAATTTTTTTTTTATGTTACATTTAAATAAAAGAATAACATATCAAATTAAGCTACCTTTAAACATAATTTCTAAAAGTTATTGATAAGTGTCAAAGACACTGTGTTTTTAATATCAAAAATAATTTAAATAATAAGTAATATGATTAAAAATAGAGTGTTAATTAATAAATCCTAAAAGATATTAAAATGCCAACAACTATATAAGATTCTAATCCCTTTTCATATTGTTTCAAGTTATTTCAGATTTGAAGTAACAAATCACTAATCTGATGGGCAAAAGGCAGTTAGGGTCAGTTGGGAATATAAAAATCAAGAAAATAAAGAATTAATAGAAATTAATTCTTGCTCGCTCTGCAGCTCGCTTCAGCGAGCAAGGCAAGCGAGAAATTGTAATTAGCTTGCTGAGAAGCTCGCTTCAACGAGGAAGTAAAATATGCTCTGAGCAGCTCGCTTCAGCGAGCTCATCAGCGAGTGGATCCAAATACTGAAAAGCCCAATTTAACCCTTTAAAAGGACGAGACGAAAATCGTGTAATTCATTTGGAAGACGGCAGAGACTTAAAGAAGAGGCAGAGGAGTAAAGTCTGGAGACGATTGCAGAAGGGAAAATAAGAAGAGAAGATTAAAGAATCACCGTTTAAATTTCCTGCTAAGTTTCTATGAACCATTACAGTTTATTTTCATCTTTTAATTCTGTTTCAATAAACATTTAAGGCTAAAGTCCTTTATGTAGTTAGGGCGAGACGCAACCAATGGGTTCTTGAACGCTATTTAATCTTTGATGCAATTATTATTCGTATTTCAATTATGCAATAAATCTGTTTTATATTCGTAGTCTTGTTCTTGAACTGATCAATCTTGAAAGAGCAATAAATCTGTTTTATATTCATATTCATAGTCTTGTTCTTTACTTTATTCCAAGACTCTAATAGGGATATTGTATGCTTTAATCCGATTGGTTAATTGTTGGAATTTGTATGTTCTAGGGATAGACTTACGAATTTTATGACGCATAATTCTTGACCTTAAAGCTTGCTTTAGATAAATACCCTAAGGAATTAGAGCCTTGGAATAAAGTAAAGAACTGAAGCCACCAAGGGATTGGGGAGTCAGTTACATAAGAAAGAATTGTCAATAATTGGTTGCAAATTTTAATTGCATGAAAGTTAAACTCGTTGAGAAACTATTGGGGAAGTCGAGTTCTTAGCTACGTTTGTTATTAATTAAAAGTTAAAAACCATTTTCTTCGCATTATTATTCTTGAATTCAGTTCTTTATTTCTTAATCAGAAAAATATTTCTGCAGTTAATGCAGATAAGTTATCTGCATTTACTTTCAAAACGACGTCATTTTGGGATTGAAAGATTAGATAATTATAATTATAAAGACTATAATAACCCTGAAATAAATTAAAATTACAAAACACCATGATTTTTGCCCCAAAATGACGTCGTATTGGGCTTATTGCAGATAAGTTATCTGCAGTAACAGCAGAAAAAGCGAACCCTTTCTTAATATTGAAAATTAAAAATAATTTATTTAAAAATTCTATTTTATAAATTAAACTAATACTCTCAACAAATCCATTTTAAGATCGATCCAACTTTAATCGCTTAGATAAGTTATTGCTTGATAATCAGTCCTCTTGGGATCAACAACCTTACTTTTATCACTTTATTGCTTGTACGACCGGTGCACTTGTCGAAGTCGCAACAGTTATTACATATAAGACTGAATAAATATACAATTATAGAATCTTTTGAAGGAACTGAAAAGAGAATGCATGTTCTCCCACGAGGCTAAGGTAGCATCTAATACCTCGTGTCCTTTTTCTGCACCAGTAGTCCTTTTGTGTTCTCATTCTTTTCTTTTGTTCATATTCTTCCATTTGACGCTTATAGCAATCACAGTGCGATGACGTTTTGGAAGTGTTAATGATGTATGGTGATGACATCACATGGATGATAATTACATATATGAGGATGGTGTGGTGGCAAGTAATAAAGAATTATTGAATATGGTGGAGAAGATGTTCGTAGATGGCAATGGTAATGGGTGGATGGCGTATTTTAAGATATGGTGGTGTTAAAGCCTGAATAGGTGAGTTGAGTGTTTGTTGCATAGCACGGGTGATGCTACCCAACAAGTATACCGATCGCACAAGTAATATAATAGTAAGTAAAGTTCGTCTCCACAGGGATTGTGATCGTTTATCAATTAATATTCCTTTCAAGAATGGAAGAGTTCTATTAGTTTACAGGAAAGGGAGACTGAAAATAAAACTGAATATTCATCTTTGATTGAATTGAAAGACGTACAAGAGGTCTGCTTATATCAGCAAAAGAAAAGCTAACAGAATGCTAAAAAGGTGCTCAGCCACATGCATGAGCCAGCAAGGCTAATCAGTTACAA